AAAAAATAATAATAATATTAAAATTTCTGGAAGATTTTAGATTTTATTGGTTGCCCAAAAAGGGTTGTTCATGGTTTTTTACGTTCTAACTGAGCTTGCGATCGCTAGTCTGTCATTCCTCCTATTCATTCCTGCTAATCCACTTTTTTTCTGTTTTGTTAGCTTTATTATTAAACATTGTTTTCTTCGCATTTACGCCGCATACAGTTCAACAACAAAATCGTAAAATTCTTAAAAGATGCATGGCATCATATGCTCAGAATTCCCGATGCAGTGTTATCATGTTGACACAAAAAAATTTATACATTTTAAGTCTTTTCTCGGTGCATCATATCAATATTCAGTTATCTTATTAGATGGCTAATAATTTTCTCTCTTTTATTTTTAACATTTTTATGTGTTAACTTTATTTATTAAATATGACTTTCTTTGCACTGAAGCCGCATAAAATTCAGTTCAACAACAAAATCACAAAATATTTAAAAACAGAATATCTTTAGAATTTTGGATAGTGTTATAGATTGCCATGTATATTTTTACATGCGTTCTGTTATTTCTTTAAAAATAGTCCCTCTAGTGGCCACCTAAAATAGTTATCATAAAGAAAAATCTGGAATAATTTTAATGAATCCAGCAAGCGTAATTTTATAAAAATCCTGAATATTTCTGATTAGACATCTCATTTTAAGACATGCTTAATTAAATAAATTATGTTAAATAGAAGAAAAATATTCTTAAGAACTGTATTTATTATTTTTAAACAGCTTAGTTTATTACTTTGTATTCACATCAAATTTGAAATAATTTAGACTTTACTGAATGGCAACACTCTGATGAGTGGAAAGATAAAAGAATTTTACTTCCGGTCTCGGCAAAAGGTTGCTTTCGTAAAGCTGAGTTTGTTAATTAAAACTGAAAGGTAAATATCCGATGTTTTTCAGAATTGGATGGCTTTACCGTCGTTCTTTTAAAATGTGAGGAACATTACATGCAGATTCTTCCTTGTTTAATTATTTAAAAATAATGCATGGCGTTTGGTGGCAAGAATTTTAGAAGTGATGTGCCGTTTCTAGGGAACCAACGCAAAATCACATTTCGAGATTAATAAAAGAAAATCATATTTCGAGGCTAATAATTTTTTTAGCTCAAAAGGTGATATCTCTTAGGGGGAAAAAACGTAAAACATCTGAAAGTGTTCAGATTTTAAAGTTTGCCCAAAAGAGCTCATTTTTGATATTTAATATGGTTTATCAGAAGAGCTTATCGACAGAGATGGTTCAGGTGGAAGACAGAAACATTTCACACGACATCCATCAGAATGAGCATGTATTTAGACAAACGTGGGGAACGTTCTGTATCTTCTGTATATTCAAAAATAAAAAAAGTATATAATGTGGGCACGGGTGGCAATTCGAAAACAAAATCTGAATGATAACATTAAGTGAGATAATATTAAGCGGCATCTGCTGTATTTCTGACCTAAATAAACCCGATAATAATGAGTTAAGAAATAAACTCCAATGCATTCCATGTTGAATATAATATCAAAAGATAAGTAATCCACAAGCGAATCCTTTTTCTCATATTTCCTTCATATTCATATTTCCTGCTGCTAACATAACATTTGCTGCTATGCTAGCAGCAGAATCGAGGACTGCTAAGTTAAAAACGTGGTAAATGAACGCGTAGGAGAGCTAGGGGGCAGAGATCAGTTGTAACATGCACACTACGCTATGGGTTTTAAATTTATTTATCAGAATCCTCACTAAACAGGGTTCTTTTAACGGGCCCTATTACGTAAACACAATCAATGCCTCTCTGAAACGGCTACTGAGAAAATATGTGCCCGTGCGTGTTACCTAGTTAACGGGGGTAAAATATTTCGTAAATTTCAATTTAAGATAATTTAAGTGATCTTTTTACTTCCTTGTACGAAGTAAAGGAAGTACTGTAATCATGAAAAATTCCGGGTACCATATTTCAACAGAAATATCCATTTTGACCGCTATCGAGATGTTTTTGCGTGACATTTGTTTTTGCGTGACATGGACAGAATACAGGACTCTTTTTTTTTTCCCAAAAAAATTATAAAACTGATTTAAAATGGATTCAGAAGTGATTTTTTCCCTTGGCGTCTGTATGTAGGTACGTGAATATGTATAACTCAAAAACGAGAAGCGTCAGAACGTTGACATTTTGTATATAGGACAGCTATAGGATATAGTTGTGCACCTCCCTTTTTTATGGCAATCGGCCTCCCCAAAAGTAAATAAATATATGTATACATATATTGTTTCATAAGAAAAAATTGAATTTAAATAAATAAATTTAATTTATTTAAATTTAAATTAATTAATTAAATTAACAAATTTAATTAAATAATTCTTTGCGCCATTGCTGCAAGGAATGAAATTTAAATTTAAACAAATTAAATTTAAATTTTAACAAACACGTATAAAAGTAAAAAAGCAAATTTAAAGCCAAAATTAGAAAAAAAAAAAAAAAAGCAAATTTAAAGCTAAAAAAATTTAAAAAATTATTAAAAAAAATGTGTAAACATATAAAAGATTTGAAAGATTTAATTCTCGAACTAATGTACAATATCATTTAAATTCAGAAGCAAAAGCAAATCAAGTGCAAAGTCTTTCCATGAAAATAAATTCACTAATTTAGCAAATTAAAATTAATCCAAACAATTTTTTTAAAAATGCATAAGTGAATGACTGTTGAGCAGGCAGGAGACAGACTTATCAAGGGGAAGTTGCTCCAAACCTAACTCTCCAATCATTCAATTCGTGTTTCGTCATTCATGCAGGCAAGGGTAAAAGTCAAAACCAAAAGTAAAAAGTAAAAATTGAAGAATGTCCAAAAAGAAACACCAACAAAGTGGTACCCCTGATTGAATTATGTTGTTCTTATCTTCCGGTTTAGGTTTTCATGCCTTTAGTTCACCTGCATGCAATATTTGTAGAATTATAAACAATTTAAAAGTTGTTTAAGTGTGGCTAAGCCTAATTCTTTTACCATAGACGCCATATTTGTTTACATTTGAAATTTAGCAGAATAATGGATTTGTTGCCACTATTCTCCTAAGAAGAAAGAAATTAAGCTTCGCAACAACAACTGTTCCTTTTTTGTTTGTCTAATTTCTTTTATGCGTCGTTTTAGATTATTGTAGTATTTGAATAGAACATGTGGCAATGATTAGATAATTCTTTAGATGATATACTTTTTGAGCATTCTGAGTTATAAAAATGAAGGAGACGTAAAGCTGTTAAGTGAAACTAGCGCCACAATATCGCTTTGGTAAATAAATGTAGTGAACTTTAAAGAGATCATTTATTCTATTTTGGTTTATGCGCTATCGACGAAGTAGATTTAATTCAATTCAATAAGTTTAAATTAAATGCAGGAAAAAATGCGTATAATTTAATATTCCGTGCATAGACGCCACGTGGTGTACACATCAGATCTTTTAAAAGAATGGTTTTACATGTTTATTTTGTTTATGTACTAAATTTATAAATGCTCCTTTAATTTTTTTTTTTACTAATCACCATAATTTTTTTGTGAATCAACAAAAATATCTGAAGCTATACTACCATGGGGCAAATGGTAACAAAATCTCTCCGTGAGTTGTAGCATGCTACAACTTGCCCCTTGATCTTTATTCATTTAATTACGTTTTGTTCTTTGAATATTAATATGAAAACTACTTTAATCTGTCTAGTTTTCTTTCCGAAAATAGAAAAACGTATTTTTAACACTCACAGATTAAACCTCTCGTTAAAGCATCCCCTCGGAAACAGTCTAACAGAGGCTGACGGTAAAGGAAATCTGCCGTAATAACTGACACACCAGAAAAATATGCATTGGAAAAAGAATATGAAAGATGATTAATATGAAACGGAAAAAATAAAATTAAAATATTGGGAAGGGGAAGGTTAAAAAAACATTAAAAAATAAAATAAAATAAAGAGATAAAAATGGAGAAAAGGAGAGGATTTTGAACTCAAATGCAGTGTTCTGAAGCAGAAATGTCGTTTTGTTTAATTTCCAGAGATGGTACAGCCATTCTGACGAAGAAGAATGGGTTAGTGCTTAATTTGCAAAATGTGGACGCACATTAAATGCGTAAGAGGAAATAATCTATCATTTGTTCTTTTAACTGCAGTTCTGATGGAGACTATTATGTTGGTTAATTAGAGAATTTTATCTTGATTTTACTATAAATCACTTGATGTTAATTAATTAAAGAATTTTATCTTGATTTTACTATAAATCACTTGATGTTGATTAATTGACGAATTTTATCTTGATTTTACTATAAATCACTTGATATCATTCAATGTCACTAAACTAAGTAATGACAAACACCAAATAATTTTAAATATTGTATCTTTTGTTCTTACTATCTGCCCGAAGTCAGTTAGAATTTGTCCCAAATCCGATCAAATTGTAATAGACAAATAATTTTGATAAAAGTATTTCTTGCGCTAAAATCAGAAACATTGCCGAATATTTATTTTGGAAATATGACGAAGGGAGAGTTATGCTATAAAAAACAACAGTGATATTTAAGGAATCTCAAAGACGTTTAAAAATATGAGTATTTTTCCAAAAATTGATACAACTAGCCTCTGGCTTTTACACTCTCCTTTTGAAAGTCACTTTTGTATTAACTTCCATAAACAGATATTCCATTAAATTGTGTATTCAGGACGAAGACAACATTTAGTTCAGAATATAAAAATAAATATGTATCAGAGAGAATAGAATAAACTCTTGGAACAAAATTTTTATAGCGATATGTTTGAACAAATGTGCTTAAGTCACGAAAAGCTTCCACACGATTGAATTATGGCTTAAGATAATGTTATTTTAGTGGAAAAAATGATGCCAATCATATTTTTCCCAATCAATAGTGTTTAATGTAACACGTATTCGATATGAATCGTCAATATTTCTTTTTGCAATTACATTTCTGTTTATATTTCCAGAACGCATTTTAGTCCTTGGTGTTTGGTATAAAAGAAGTAGCTGTGAGGACAGCAGGAATCGTTTTGCTTCCTTCCCAAAGAAGTACAAAGCTATTCCCAAAGAAAGCGTTGAAGACATCTGCCGTTACGATGATTTCGAACTACGTCATATCCGCAGTCATGCTTGCTGCATATGTGGTCTGCGCGGCAGCAGCGAAGAGTAAGTCAAAGAATTATATTGTTGTAGTGCTTGATATCGTTCACTGTCATTAAACCAAATAATAATATACACCAATCGTTTTCTAAAATGCTGTCCTTTTTATTGTTACCCTTTCCCCAGGTCTGTTAAAATTTGCCTCGAATTGTAGGGGCAAATCGTAACAAGCGAATACAGTTCTGAAAAAAATATTTTTTGTACTAAAATCAAGAAAATTTCCGAACGTTTCTTTGTGCACATGATGAATAAATAGTAGTTGTGCTATAAAAAGGGCAGTTATAATTAAAGAATCGTAAGTGCATTTAAAAATATAAACATTTTTTCAAACATTGTTGCAACTAGCCCTTCGCTACCCAACTTATTTTCAGATCTGAAGTGCATTAGTGTTTAGAAAAATTACTCTCACAACAGGTATCATTTACAGCAGTTATAAAGAAAATTCGCAATGCATTGTACTCTCGATCATCCGGGCTAATCGGGTTGCGGATAATTAAACAACACGGATAATTCTAACTGTATATTTCTTGGAAGTGCTATTTTATTCCTATATTCGAATCCCCTTTGGTTGACGAAGTCCAACAGAGTTCTAACAGAAGTCATTGCAGTCTCGGGCCCAATGCCAGTTGCCAGTGTGCTCTTGATTTCAGTATCACTCAGAAAAGGCGGATGCTTTTTCTTTTTTTAAAAGAACATCTGGCATTTAAAGTGATATTAGCACCACTCACACGCTGAAAGCTCGGTTCAGTCGAATCGCCGTTTGATCATTCCTCGATGTTTCCCCGATAGACATTTTCCAAGAATTTTTACATTTTCAACTTTTGGGCATACAACTTCAGTTCTTGTCTTTGCTTCTCCCCAATGAGTATAAATCTCCGATTTCTATATCGAGAAGAATCGTTCTTCATGGTTGAACCAGTGCTACTGGTTTTACTTTCGACCCTGACTTCCGTGTATGAAATCCAATATAGTCAACTTTTCTAAGAACTTTATTCCTCATCATCTTCCTCAGCAAGAGTTATTAGAAGATCAGAACGTTAAATATACCTCCGGTCCATCGGATGAATTAAACTGGTAACATTTGGCGGTAGAAATATACTAGTCATCATTAGACCGTCAGTTTTTTTTTTACTCCAAAGGGGCTTTGTCCCTGAGGGACTACGGATTTCGTTTTGCGATTTTGCTTCGAATCACTCTGAATGACCGTTTTACTTTTCAAACTGTTGCCACCCAATTTTATCACCCTGTATTATATTTGAAGAAATTAAATAATTAAGAATCTACATAAATGTATGTATATTTCTCTCATTGTGATAAAACAACGGTACCTAGAAACATCCAATTTTGAATGACGTAATCTTGCTGCGAATATGGGCATGTGGAAGCCCAAATTTGAATGATTATCGATTTCATGTTTTGTCAAACTTTAACGAATTTTGATTAACACACATTTCAAAGGGAGCAAAAGAACAATGGGAAGGATTTCAAAGCGAGCAATTGCAACGTTGTACATAAAAAAACATTTTTATCTCCAGCGCTCGAGACTGTGTATCGGAAATTTTAAAGATATGTTCAGTTTAAAATTATTTTGGGATATTGCTCTTGAACTGAATTTTATGGTTTAAGTGCGAAACATGATATTTAATAAATAAAAGTAATGCACAAAATTGTTAAAATAAAAGGCCTCTTTGGACGTAATTTAAAATCTGAAACCTTTCAGATTTTGTATTATTATTTTATTATTATTTAATTACACATCCTCAAGGAAATCGTTGAGTGTGGATTACCCGCAAACCGGATAATCGAGATTATACTGTATTCGAAGCTGCCGTCTGGAGATTGAATTTTAGAATAGACTTCAAAAATTCTAAGCGACCACTTTTGCGACGCTTTGTTTTGTTCTGCCAAGTAGCAACGGGAATAAAACTCTGAAATTGTTCTCGATCTTTGAGGAATTCTTCCTTATTTATGTCATCGGAATTATGATTTATTTGCCATTGGTATTAGTCATTCAGAGGTTTCTATGTAGTAAAGGAGGCACCGCAAAAAAATGAAGCTGTTAAAATCTCTTTATCATACCTCTGAATACTCTATCCAGTACAGTTCGGTAAGAGTGACTCAATGAACAGGATAATACAGAAGGTTACTTGCACTTTATAACGAAAGATTTTTGTAAGTAATTTTTATGCTTAAAGGGCGTGTTTCCTGCAGCGATTTACTTCCGTTGATTGCCTTGATTCTTGGTTCAACAGCTGGAATTTTCTATCAAAAGAAGCTTTTCTTTTCACTGTCATGTCAGTTTCATCCTATTCCTTTTGAGTCGTTTTCCAAAAGTCCGTTCAGTGTTCTTGGATGTTTTTCTATTTTTTTTTTTTTAAATACCTAAAGCGCAAAAGTCCACAGGAGGAGCGTCAGGCGATATTATAAACATTTCTTTTTAAATGGGATACATTTTTATTCCCGATTTTGGTTGTTTGTTTGCTAAATAATCTGAAATTATCTTGGACGTGCGACTAGAAGTTTTGTTCATATGAAGCTCAACTTTATTGACGTCCCTTCCATATAAGGCTAGAATCTCTTCTTCAAAAAGCGGTTCTAAAATATTCTGCTAAAAGTATAATGAATTAGTTTTGCTCTTACTTAAAATATTTTTGGGTTTTATTTTACCGTTGTAACAAAATTCTGCAACTATCGTGCAGTTATCTCTTTAAGAGTAACCGTGAGAGCTCTATTGCTTTAAATCATCAAAATCTCGAGCGCATCAGATACAATACCTGAAATTTCATTCCGACTGGTTGAGAGTTTAGGCCTCTAGGGGCTCATATACAGAGAAAGTTTTCTTATGATCCTCCTGTATATCACAAGGAAATGAAAAGAACTTTTTTGCGTTATATAACCTCCTATCTATCTTTCCTTTCAAATTCTAGCATCTACTATAAAATATTCTGCTTATTGATATATAAACGAATTTTGTATCTTTTGCTTAATGTGTTTTCAATGCTTATCAAGTTTTCGATAATATGGATGAGGCATTATAATCAATATTTAAATTCAGAGGGAATAAGGGATTGCAGACTTTAATCTGAAATTGTGAAGAGTAACGTTTTGAATTTCTGATTAAATTCATAGTCAGTATTGTGCCGCCCAACCGGGAAAGTCGTTAGCGACGCTGACTGCCGTACTGAAGGGCCCGGGTTCGAATTCCGGAGAGAACATGCATGTTTGTAAATGTTATAGTGTCTGTGCGGCATGGGGTCACTCTTAATCTGAAACGAGTCGAAAGTCCTCTCGAGAGGTTAGTGGTAGGGGAAGAGGGGTGGAATACCTTGATACCCGTCCCCAAAGATGCTTTCCATCATAATTGGGGGGGGACTGAGAAAAGTCGTACTGTGGTACTGTATATGGTGCTTAACACTCTTTGGCAATGACAGGCGCAATCTTGCACTCCGTTCCACGGTGAATTTCGTGGGCTTGTTCTGATGTTACAGTCAGATAAATGAGATACGTCTCAACACAACAAATCAGTATTGTTCACGTTTTATGGAGTAATTTATTACGCTTTTCTTTATTGAGGACAAAAAAAGAATTTTATAAATTTTATTATTTCATTTAGTAATCATTCTATTATTTTCTCCAAATTTTGCTTCTGGAAGATTTCAAAATATATATATATATATTGTATACTATACTGTGTTTGGCACCGTTTTTCTCATTAAAGTAATATTTATTATTCAAGTATTTTTTATCATTAATGTTTTTTTATTAGTAATTATCAATGTTATACTTGCAAACAGTTTCGATTTACTACAATTACTCAAGTCATCCATCTACATTTGTCTACAAGAATTTAAAGTAAATCAACCTTGAAAAAACATTAAAAACGAGCATTATCTTAATACTTAATACAGGATGTTTCATACTAAATGAGACAGAAAGAAGAGCATGGTACAAATTCTGTGACTGATTTATTAAGCCAAAACAAATTAATTCTGAAACTACAATTATACAAGTTTTATCCGGGAACAGTGAAAACTCTTCCGATTGCGATACTTTAGCAGCGTTATATGACCTCCTGTTAGGTTGACTATAATGAATTAACGCTGCTACTTTAACAGCTTTATATGACCTCCTGTCAGCGTTATATATGACCTGCTGTAAGACACTGTTAATCAAAGGGCGCCATCCATGCAGAGAAAGCACACCGGGTTTTGGAATACGCCGAACTATCATCGATTATCGTTATTCAAAGACATTTTCAAACGAAATATGGTAAAGAATTACTGCGTCGTCATAACATCGAACAATGGGTGAAGCAGTTTCGGGACACGGACTGCTTGTGTAAGGAAACCAGCCCAGAACAAACAGCAATCCAAATCAAAGTGACGTCCAGCATTTGTTTGCACTGCCCCCAGCAGTCGTCTTGAGCGCAATATGTATGTATAAGTGTGTTATTCTGATCAAGTTATTTCCGTCAGCGGGGCTACCTGGCCGATATGCTAACTACCCAGTGGCCCGGCTGCCTCGCTGTCGGCGGAAAGAAAGAAAGTAAACCAACGCGTGGTGCGAATTCTGAACTCAGTGTGCCTCATGTAACGGTGTGGTGTGTGTTTCGGAAAGACCTATAATTCCAGACATACACCTTTCAGATGATGCAAGCGTTAAAAACCTTCCGACAAACCATTGCGTAAAGCTTTCTGTGAGAATTTGAAAGATAAGCTGGAGGTGGATGGTTTGGCGAACAGATTTGTGTTTACGGATAAAGCTTTTTTTACGTTTCTGGCAAAGTTGTGGGGGTTCCAACCTTTTATCAAACAGCTAAATGTGTAGGAACCTCGTGAACACTTACGCGAATAATCGCTTTAATTCAGAAACAGAAACGTAAAACTCGAGAAGGGTTAACTACCGTCTGTTTCTCAAAATAAGAACGTAACAGTTGGCTCTTTTCTCAGCGCTTACAACAAAGCCTCCATTAATAGTAATAATAATAATCAAGTCTCCACTATTAGTAATAATACGCAAGCCCCCCCCCACTAATCTCCCTAATAGCTTAGAGATGTAGCCACAAGGCGAACGCGCGCTAATCAGAAACTCTGAGGCTGTCTCTCGAAGCCAGTGGAACTTCGACTTAAATACCACTCTTACTCATTTGCATTAACCGCGATTCTAAAACCGCATTCTGGTAGGAAATTGTGAGCTGAAAGTAGGAGGGACATGAAAGTATTAACCTTATTTAACTAAAGATGACTGTTAAAAACTTAGGATAAACCTTACAAAGTTAATCGCCATATTTACGATTCCGGGCCACAAGAAACCTACATGGTATAATGGAACCTGAGCGTGATTCTCCAAAGGTGAATGTTTTCTGCGCCATTTTCAACAGTGGTGTTTAACGTCCTTTTTTTCTTCATGGAAAAATTGATTAACGGGTGCATTTACCAAGATATACAATAAAGGTGGTTGTTCCATCAGTGTGAGAATGCTGTTCCGGCTTCATTCTGCAGCAAGACGATGCTCCTCCGTATTGGCGTAAAAACGTATGCCAGTTGTTGAACGATAGTCTACCCCATCGCTGGACTGGCCGTGCTGGCTTTAACGATATGGCATAACTTTGTTGACCACCGAGATTCCCAGGTCTAATCCCTTATAATTTTTTTCCTATGGATTATTATTAAAGACAAAGTGTTTATGCTTCCATTTCTCCAGGACTTACAACATCTGAAGCAGCGAATAGCAAAATTGATCGAATCATTAGCAAAGAATATTCTAATACGAATATGGCAAGAACTAGTGTACCACATTTGCCGTGTTACCGGAAGGACACACAGAGAACATCTACAGAAACTTGGATAACTATAGTTTCACAGTAAATTTGGTTTATCAAAATAATTTATAGGCTTTCTTTTTGTACCATTCAATACGAAAAACCCTCAGTTATTTCCCTTTTCATAAGAAACCTTCGTAAAAGTTTTAACATATATATCTGTATATGTAGAAATCTGTTTATTGAAGCAATAATAATTTTAGGATACTTATTCTATATTCTATATTTTCTAATGAATGCAAGCAAAAATGTCTGATCTCAGTTACCATTTTTTTTTTTTTTTTTTTTTCATTTATCAATTATTTTGTCAGTTGTAACTCTTGGATATGTTTTGCACGTGTATGAAGTATTGAACGAATTAATGAGCTAATGAAATTATTATTTCTTTTCAGCTGGTGCTGGTATTGGCCGCTAAATGTCAGATATGGTACGTATGAATTCTTTTGATCGAGTGCTACATGCTAATAATCATGAATATTTAATTCATGAAGCCGTAATTACATTACAGGAAATCGTGGCATTAAATATTATTTCGTTTGACTCTTTTCTGCGTAAATTATAACCTGCGAAGTATTTTGAATAATTAGCAAATCGATTTAGATTCTGCTACGTGACGAATTTATAAATATCATTTAAAGAAAATAAATTTAAATTATAATCCGGTATTTTCAGTCAGTGGACTCAAACTCAGATTGCACGCGGACTACATGCGCGATCTTAACACGATCTGACGGGGCAGATTTTCTTTTGAAACATTTTATTAACGAAATGAAAAATCTGATCTGGACACCCCATACCTTCCTTGAATGGCTTATTAACTGATATATATATTTTGCTGCATTTCACTGAAACTTATTTCGAAAAATTATTCTAACTTAATAAATCGATTCCTCCAGGCAAGTTGAAAATGACATAAAAAATTTCGGAATTTAAATTAAATGTCCGGATCAATTGTTGTCACACAGGAGTCAATCTTCTTGTATTTTTATTTTCTCGTAACGAAAATAAAACTTTCATAAGTATGAGTGCAGAAACAAGGAGACGCATAAAAAGTTAGATTTCATTATTTGTTAATTTTTTAAATTTGAAATTGCCAAAACATGAATACTTTCATCATTTAAACCCGTTCTGTAATTGGGAGTTCATGGACTAGGACCAACAATTGCGAAAATTAAGTTCTGGTACGGATATAAGGATATTTAAACTGGGTAATCTGGGAAGTTGTTATATATATGTAATTTTGGTGCTGCCAATTGCAATGAAAACGCGAGGTGCACAACTACATGTTATAGCAGTTCTTTGTACAAAATTTCAACATACTACATGTTTTTGAGCTATGCGAGATATATACGTACCTACGTACGTACAGACATTATGATAAAATCTATTTTGAATCCGTTTTCGAATAAAGAGTTTTTTTTTCTGTGTGAACGTAGAGATATCATGCAAAAAATAATCAAAATAGATTTGGGAACGGTCCAAATGGATTTTTCCATTGAAAACCTAAATTTTCCGCCAGTCCTTTATTTCGTACAAGGAAGTTCAAATGCTTTATATAAATTTTTAATTTCGCTTACTAATCAAAACATAAATTTTATCAAAACATAGGTTTATAACAAAAAAAATCTGATGTAGATACCGCATGAGTTCCTTGTATCGCCTGTTAAATCATGCACACTTTTTTGGTGCATTTCATTTAAACTTATTTCCTCGAATTTTAATAGAGATATATTTATCATTCAATAAATTCAGTTCTCACTTTGCGGCAAAACAAAAATAAATAAAACCTCAAAACATCTTCATTAAAAATTTTAAAATACAGAAAAAATAAAATTCCAAATACAGTAAAAAGAGTAAAAGAAGCAATTTTTAAAGTAAAACTACAGTTTTCTACTCAAAAACAAGCAAAATAGCCAGCGTGCAAGAAGATAAATTTTTCGGTGCACAAAACTGAACGTCTGCTTTTGTTCCCACACGACAAAAAGACACTGAAGGTGCAGAAACTGACTTAATTCACCATTCTAATGAGTTTCAAATGTAAACAAAAGGCGATTCGCTAAGCTGAACTCGCCACTTAAACTTTTAAATTGCTAATAATTCTATAACTTTTGCATGCAGATTAACTAAAGGCATGAAAACTTTAACTGGAACATAAAAAGCACATAATTCAATCAATTTTAAAGCAAAAAATACATAATTTATCAACATATACGAATAAAAAAAACTAAACTAATCCAACCAGGTAATAGAGCAGAAGTATATATGTACACTCACTTCCAAAATATACACTTAAGCACGAAGATGTAAAATGCAAAAAATCAACAAATACTGCTTTGATTGACACAAAATTCGGCAGAAAAGTAGCATATATATTTATGCATAAAACAAAATCAATAATTATAAACAAATGAAAACAATATAAATTTTTGTAAGTTATCAGAAATCTGAAACGGAAACTTAAACAAAATTATGTATAAAGTGAAAATAAACAGCATAATATGAAAAAAATAGGGTATGTGATCCCCCTCATCTAATTGAAAGCATGGTCACAAGTTTACACCTTGTGACCATGCTTTCAATTAGGTGGTCAACCACCGCACAATTAAGCAATTGCCATTCTTCTTGTAGAGCAGTTTCCAGATCAATAAGAGTGGCTGGAGGTAGGAAACGTGAAGATACAGCACGGCCAAGCGCAACCCAAAGATTTTGAATGGGATTAAGGTCGGGCGAATATGCTGGCCACGCCATACGCGCAATCCCTTACTCTCCAGGTAGTCCGACGAGTCAGCTTGGGGACGTCTTATCGTCCATAAAACAAAAGTAGGCCACTGCTGCAGGATACATCTCACAATGGGTTCTAGGACTTCATTATATCGGACAGCCTTTTCCCCGTTAAAGAAACCCCGTTTAAGAACCCGTTTAAAGATGTGCAGGTCGGTGCGGATCCTAAGAAACCCTGCCACACCATAGTGGCTTCGCCCCGGAACGAGATGTTCGATGATGTTTTGGGACTGATTGCGTGTTGTTGTTCACACCATATCCTTTACGCTTGTCTTCGTCTCCCAGCCAAATCTTATCACAAACATGGATTGCCCCGTCAGACAAATTCCAATTGACATGTCCGGCAACCACTGCAATCCTTCTTGATTGACGAATAAGGAGCACAAAACTCGAGGTCCGGGCGTACGTCACTCATATGTAATCTTCGGCGTACAGTGCTGAGATCGCTTACCAATGGACCCTGTAACAAGGTGTCACACGTGTGGAGGTCGCTTCGATTCCGCTTAGCTAAAATAACAATATATCGATGTCCGCGGGGTTGTAACTTGGGCGACCGCACGGGCCTTCGGTAACTGTCTATGTGGTTGGAATGTTTCCATAAACGTGATGATTTCAAATGATGAACGCCGAAGAAAAGAGCAAATTGTGATCGACTGTCCTGCTTCAGTTCGCCCACAGCACGCCAGCTTCAGTGCCAGCGATTCCATTTGTCTTCTGGAAGTCAAGAAACACGTGTCTTGAAAACATTCTACGAAAGTTTTAAACACCTTCTATCAGCACTTGCAATCAACTTCTGTAACCCTTCATAAGCGGCTTCTTATAAAGACTGCCTTTTTTGCATATTTCTTGATATGAAAGCGCGATTGGCTGTTACCTAACATATTTGCATACTTCCATGTACCTCTGCAGCGAATTCCATCCTCTTCAATTCTGATTGGCTTTCGTAAATTAGCATTTTCCTCTCCGAGCTTAACTTTTGGAAGCGAGTCTATATTGATGCAGCCGATTGTAACGAAAAAGGGAGGTGCACAGTTACATGCTACAGTCGCCCCATATGGAAAATTTCAATCTCCTGCGGTTACTCATTCTTGTTTTATGCGAGATACATACATACGTACCTTCGTACAAACTTTAAGAAAAAATCTCTTCTCCATTTTAAATCCATTTTACAACCCTTTTTTTTTGGCAAAAACAGTTCCTCGTTCTGTCCGCATGTAGAGATGTCAAGCAAAAACATCGTTGAAATGATTTCGAGGGCGGTGGAAATGGGTATTTTTGCTGAAATATCATACCTTAAATTTTTCGCGATTGCAATACTTGAACAATATATACATAATATAACATAATATCGTAAACGAAAAACATTCTAGTTTATATTTATTTTCTATTTGAAATCTGAAATCTGGTACCTGCAAGCCTTTCTTTGTTGCTGTTACAGTTTATTCTATCAATAGTTAAATATTAAATGTGCAGACTCATATTTATTTAAAATAGTTCCAGAATGTTTAATTAATAATCAAATAACTTAATTGAATTTAATCTAAAAGTACACAAATTATCTATTATTATTAGATTGTGTTTTAGCTTTTTTCTTACTAAATAAGTTTAAAACTATTATCACACTTTCCAATAAAAAATTGCCATCCATTAAACTCAGCCACTTAATAAACTCAACCTGTTTGGAACAAAAATGATTTCAATAAACGGTGCTTATTGCGCTACGAGTATCAGGCAATTATATTAAGCATCATCTATATCATATACTTTAAAAATTTGAAATGAAATAATTCCACTTAAGAATAAAAATCCATTTATTAAAAATTATCGTTCTATGATTTCGAATAAATGAAAGTAATGAAATTTATCTTCATAGAAACAATGCTGGATAAATCTGTGAAACTAATAAATGCTAGCTTAACTCATAAGAGTTTATTTTGGATGAGTATATTGGTATCGTTATTTGAATATATCATTTCTTATATATCTCTTACGGGAGTTAATAATTAAGCTCGTGGTTTGGTTTTATTTCTAGGTTAAAACTTCCTGAAATGGGACTCCAAATGAGCAGCATTAAGACTTTACCGAAGAACTGACTTTATTTTCAATGCAGTACACTCCAAGCACTCCACTCGAAAAGTTTTTATGCTTCACCTGCAGATACAAAACTTCCTTTGCGAAAAAATACCTATTTATAATTTGATATTTTCAAATTATTGCAGAATATTTATGAAACAATAAACTTTTTGCTGCTATGGGCTTATTTTATTTCTGCTTGTTCAAGAACATTCCAGATACTAATGCCAATAAAATAATGCAAATATGTTTAATTAACTCAATATAAAATAAATTCGAAATTCACTTTGCATTCCATTTTACGCTGCAGTGCGTTATTAATTAATTTTTAATGCTAATTCATAAACATGAATATCTAATATAGGTGACCTTATTTATCCAAGTCAAAACATTATAACCTTCATTATATGTTTCTAAGTATGCGCGTTTACTCAATCATGTTTATGAATTAATTTAATTACCCCAATTAGTGTAACGTCTGGATGTACTAGATACTTAATGCATAATGCGTCTCCAACATGCATTTAATGTATGCATATTTATTTATCCCTGTATCAGTATTTCTTTACTTATTTATGCATGTGTAATGTTAGTGTAATCCAAGTTATAGGAGATTTTATATATCCAAGACAAATCACAATGATCATAACATTTTGCGACGAGTCCTGTATTCTCTACTATGTGCTAGTGTATCCTGAACCGCATAAAGTTATGTATTTATCCTGTATTATATTAAGTAGCTACTGCATATATATGTAATTGTATATAATCAGTGTTACATCATGCGTATCAGTGTTCATATTTCTATGCATATTTTAAACGTACTTCAAGGTATATTTTAAGCAAGTCAAATATTGTCAAAGTATTATTCAATGCAACAATATGTGTAACTATAACATCTGGGGCTGTTCTAGTTAATGGTGGACGTGGTTCTGCACTGATTAACCAGTACGGTAGAGGCACAGTGCCAACGTCCCCTGTCACTTGTATTTGTACTACTAGCAATTTCGCACTTAAACGGTATCCATTACATAAAAATAAATACGTCTAGGTAAATTGGTGGGTATACTAATTTTATTAACCGTGAGAATACAATTACGGTTTAAAACGTTAGTTTATCATCGACTATAGAAGAATACGTTTAATCGGTATTCTCGCATGCATGAGCTGCACACGTATATAATTCGCTTACGTTAGTTAATTACGGCAGAATACACTAGGGCTACCTGCCTAAGAGAAGGAATGCCTCCGTGGAGGACTTGCCAAAGAAAACTGACTCGTATACACGCTGTCCTAAAAGTTTATAGACTCATCTCTATTACGCGATTCAGAAAAATGTAAAGGAACGCAAACACCAAATATAAATCTGCTTGTTTACATCACATGCGATTTGCATTCCAGTAAATGTTCAACTAAAATAGCAATTTGTATTTTAGAAAAAATAAAAACACAAAAAAATATTCGTCTCGAAAGTTTAGAGAAAAGTTGCCCGATTATTCAATATGACGTGGAATACGCGTTTTTTCATCGAGAGAACTCCATCGAATTATGTAATAACTCTGATTCCGCATTGTGCCATGCATTCTCGATGGCTACTTCTAAGGCATTCACGGAAGAAAACTTTCTTCCATTCTCGTAAACGTACCTGGACATAATACCTAGACCCAACACTTTCTCAATTGAGCTAAAATCGGGACTCATTGGTGACTACTCAAGAAGAGTGACATGTTCTCATGTCTAAGTAAATTTTTGTAGCATTTGAGGTATGAATGAGAGCATTTCCTTACTTGGTACACCCATTTTTGTCCTCCAGTGTTTCCAGTAAGTGCCGCAATATGGTCTCTTAGTGTTTCTGTGTATTTATACGAATCTTGCCGACTATCTAGAAAGGCGAAACCGACTTTCCCTTTGAAACTGAAAGTTGCCCACATCATAACAGATCCACCTTCACTGTTCCTACTGAAAAAGCTCCGAGGCTCTTTTCGTAAGTCCTGCCAGTAATATGAATACCGTCAGGACCGTCTAGATTCTCATTTTTTCATCGCTCAAAATTACACAGATCCATTTGTCACCATAGGTCATGTGGTTACGGCCCATTGCAATCTCACTCATTTGTGAAGCGTTGAGAACCGTAACGTTCGAGCCATTTTTACGTGAATCATATAACCAGATTCCTTGATTCTCCTAGAACGGTGTCTTTGGATATTTGCAATCCACAAGTCCTTGTAATATGGCGAACCGATTTCTTCTGTGTTGAAGCCAATCTCTGTATTCGCCTATCGCTGCAACCATCCGTCAATCGGGTCTTCCTGAACGTGATTTTGGCTGATGTGGCCTCTTACGAGACATTACACGGTAAATCATGCTTACAGATCAATTCAGAAGTTTCAAAATCTCTTTGACAGATCGGTCGTGGAATTTGAAGTTTAGAATTCTATTAACTTTGTTATTAACTAATTCTATTAGCATCAGAAAGCTGCGTAGCTTTAAGCATACATAAAGGCAGCTCAAATGATCTTTATTAAATTGGAGGTTTGAATGAGGGCATTATCATACAAAAGGCTCAAGTTCCCCATCGTGATTGTTGCTAAGCAGTTTGCATAAAACTACATTTGTCTATAAACTTTCGGGACACACATTTTTTTTTTTTCTATTTTTATTTTTTCTAAAATGCAAAGTGATATTTTTGTTTAATATTTACTCACATGCAAGGCACATGCGTTTCGAATAAACATATTTTAATTTGATAATTTTGTTCATTTCTGTTTTTCTTAAACGCGTAATTTACTGGAGTCTATAAACTTATGTTACATACGGGGAAAACTACGGAAACACTCATGCATCCCGCCCGTTCGCCTGTCAAAAGTACCAGAGTTCAGCGATTTTAACCGCTGAGCCTCTGGTGGGCACGCCTATAAGTCGCATCCTAAAATTTTACTTCTAGTTATAGGAGAAAATATTCTCGAGGATAAGCCGCAGATAGCCTGTCTGCCGTCTATGATATTTTATTCGTTTTCGAGGTGTGAAATGGACTAAAATGAAAACAATACTTGCCACCAAACTGAGATAAAACTTTTATTATCGTTCAAAAGGAATATGCTTCTGTGTACAGTTGCAGTTTAAAATGTGCATCGTAGCTAAATCGTTTGCTAGACATTTGCCTTCGAATGATTTGCACACACAACGAAACATGTACAGTACCAAATAACTTTCATCCAACAACAACGGATTTCTTTGAACTGATTGTTGATTCGAGTCGAACAAATCGTACCGAAAAAAAAAAAAAAAAAAATCCGATTTTCATCTGCCTTTTCGTGAAAAAAGTGCAGCTTGTACATGAGAGAGTACAGTAATACTTCTTTGATTATACGATATGCGTGAATTTTGCATCGGTGGAAGAAAAATGCCGACCTCCTTTTCCCAAGTCTGCTACAGTTCCTCATGTTCAGAAAACCTGATCGTAAATTCCTCCGGTATAAATGGACAAGGAATACCAAATAATATCATTTTGCATAGAATGCAGTTACACGTTATTGAAGATATGCAATATTTTTTTAACGAGGATTCTGAGACTGCAGGTTGCAAAAACAAATATGGTAGTACAAGTATCCCAAACTCAGTATCTGAAGTGGGCCAATAGTCATCAACAAGGCCCGTATTTTGATGACCTAAAAATTCACTGAAACTGCTCTTAAAAAGGGCCGCTGGTGTGGTATGGTGTGGTGTATTTAATTATGGCAAAGCACACCAGGGCTATCTGCCTAAGCGGATGGATGCCTTCGTGGAGGACTTTCTAAGGGAAACTGGCTCGTATACACGTTACACATGGAAAAGAAAGGGGGGCCGGACAATACTCTTAAAATGACAAAAAAAAAAAAAAAAAAAAAAAAAAGCCTGTAAGAACAAAAATTAAAATTATTTTCTCGAATTTCATTAAAAATATATTTCTGATTCAATTAATTCAGTTTTAACTTCGCGGCAAAGTAAAAATACATAAAAAGTCAAAGCTTCTTTATTAAATATTGAAAAATACAGAAAAACATAAAACGCCAAATACAGTTAAAACAGTTTTACAACTATAATTAGAGTTTTTACGCAAAACAAGCCACTCGGCCAGCTGCTCGAAGGCATATTTTTTGGTGCACCAAACTGAAAGTTTACTCTTGGTTCTACACGGCAAAAAGACATTGAACGTGCTGACTTAATTCACTATTCTACTGAGTTTCAGATGTAAACAAATGACAGTTCCTTAGGCTCAACTCGCCACTTTTAAATTGTTAATAATTCTACAACTAATGCATGCAGATTAACGAAACGCATAAAAACCTTAACCGGAAGACAAAAACCACATAATTCAATCACCTTTAAAGCAAAAACTGCGCAATTTACTAACATATAAGAATAAAAAACCTAAGCTCACAGAGCAGGTAAGAAAGTGAGAATATATATATATTAATTAATTTTACGTTTTAAGATTTTTCTTTGAAAATTTCTTTGAACACCAATTTAAATTCTGATTAATTTTTTTTTGTTTTCATTCGTGGTTAAATGGAATTTGTATTCCTTGGAGATGGTCTATGGAAAGTTTTCTTATTATAAATTATATATATATATGATTGGTGCAGCCGTTTGCAACGAAAAAGGGAGGGGCATAACTACGTGTTATAGCAGGCCTATGTACAGGGTGCGGCAGCGTTCATAGCCTAATTTGACTTGCGTATAGTAGAATGACGTACTACATGAATGCGCGCCAGCTCGTGCCGCATTCGTGTACTGATGAGCTGCCATTTCGAGTTTGACAGAGATATGGATCGGTGGAGTGCAAAGCATCGTGTTTTTGCTGTTGAAAGTTATTTCAAGAATAACTACTCTGTTATTGCTACCCAGCGTCTATTTCGGCAACATTTTAACTTGGGACGTCATGGGGAAGTTCCAGATGGACGGACCATTGCAATAGACATTTCCATGTAGAGTAATTTCCCATTTTGGTGACATTTCCTGGCCGCCTCGCTCATTTTCATGTGCAGACTTTTTCCTTTGGAGCCACCTGAAGCAATTTCCGAACACGTTGTGCCACCATTCCTGAGTTGAAGGATCGCATCAGAACTGCCGTCGGCAGTGTCCCAGGGAATACGTTACGCCGAGTTATGGCAAGCTTCCAACGCCGCCTAGACGAATG